TCAGTCAAGCGGTGGCGAGGCGTCCTGCCTTGCCTGCAGGCCCACTCAAGGATGTGCTGGGACCTCTTTACGGCTTTCTGAGAACATTGCTTGCTGAGACCGTCGTTGTTCAACACACCAGCATTCTTTTGTTCAAGCAAAATGTCGTGGTCGGCCTACAGGAATGCCGTGACGGTCTGTCCCTGCTCAAGTCAGACTCTTCTTTGGACATTCCAGATGGGATCCGACTACATGGGGTCGGGGGATCGTGCTGCATTACCGATGCATCCCAGATGGAGCTTGATTTTCTCCACGCCAGCGTCGCTGATGCATCGCGGACGTCGCCAGTGCATTGGCGCTGCATCGGCGATGCGTCGCCGATGCATCGGCGATGCCGCGCGATTTTCTGACCACATTAAGGAATCCCCTGCCCTCTAGAGGGAAGAAGCCTGATGACCATGACTAAGGTGTCGCGGGATCTTGTCGACGCCGATCTTGCGCCATGCTGGCCGTCGCCCATTCTGGAGGACGGTCTGCGAATCGACGATGGCCAAGATGGATGATTACCAAGATCGACACCCACGTTTCCGCACTCAGTCTTGGTCATGGTTCTCGTTTTCCTTCCTTCCATCCTCCTCCGGGATCGGGTTTTCTAACTTTTCTTTGATTGCTGGATTTGTTTCTCGCATCTGGGTCCTTGCCAGCAGCTGCGCCCCGCCGAAAGCGTTGCGTTGGTGCCAGAGTCGTCCCTAACGGCAGACAGGGTATCGAGTGATGGCCCGAAAGCCAGACCTCCCTCGTCCTGAAGAGAAACAAACGGTTGGGGTCGCTGTGGCCGTGACAATACGGCTCGGCCTGCTCTGGTGAAGGGTCGGCAATACGTCAGAGTGACCTGATGCCGAGTGACCTTTTGTGTGGGCACATTCAGGTCCCCAGATTGCTGAACCCGTCAATCGCGCACCAAAGGTCTCTCCGTGTAGCCGAAATGCGTTGGGACTTTTGGTGGCCCCGTCTGGGCAAGACATTGTCGGATTAGGGTCCGAGCAGATGACTGCGGGGGGTCGCGCCAGACCATCGCTGGAGCATCGACGGCGCGGCGCGATCATCGGGGTCCGATCTCTTCCGTCCCAAAGTCTCCAGAGCACCGGCGGTGCATCGGGGACGCTGCGCGATGCTCCAGCCCAGTCTGCTCTGGCCCCAGACATGGACGAGGCTGGTGGAGGCAAGAAGTCAGGAGGTGGAGGAGGCGAGTGCGTACGCACGGCGTCCTGGCAGACATCTCATCGATGATATTTTTTGTTGTTGTGATTCGTTGCCATTCTTACGTGTTTTCCTCCTGGGCCTTTTTCTCTGTTCCATGACCACCCCTTGCCGGGAACTCCTTCGGGGCAGGGCGTTGTTGGCACCCATCCGTCGAACAACATAAGTTGCCTGGGGAAGGAGACCACCCACGACCTATCATGATACAGTCGTGGCAAGCCTGCTTCGATGTGTCAGTGGAGCTGCCTTGACCTGGTAATGCTGAGGTCTTACAACTCCTGAGGGAGAGGAGCCTTATCAGGGGGGAACCTTAGCAGTCCTACAACTTGCCGTCTGTCTCTTGTGCCCGACGCGGGTTCGGCGCAGATTTCGGCGCGCATTCGACGTGGATTCGACGTGGCTTCGATATAGATTCGACGCGACAAGTTGGACGTCGATTCCACGCGGACTCGATGCGGACTGCGGCGCGTTGGGACAGACAAGGTCCCCCAAACACGTATCATAACAAGCAAGTCCCTCCTTCCGCGCGTCCCGCCCGCCCTCGCTGCCACCTCGGTCCCTGCTGGGCGCGCAGCTGTCGCCACTCTGCCGCGCTTCTGAGGGCGGGGGGGGGGCCTTCGGCGGAGCGGCGCTGCACGCGGATGGCATCGAGACCCCGTCCGCCCCGCTTGCTGCCAGGCGCACAATCACCGCCCCTTTGCCGCGTCGCCTTTGGCGAGTCCGGCGGGGCTCTACACGTATTTACGCATGTCCAGCTAGAAAGCCACAGCGTTTCTGCACGAGTGGTACGACAAGTCCACCGCGGAGTTCAGACCATGGACCTGGTGTGTTGTGACGTTGCGTCCGCTTGTGCCGGAAGCTGAGTGCGTGATGCTCTAGCGTGAACGTATGTACCGTCTTCTTGCGGCATTTATCGAGTCGGATTCATATTTGAGGGCCCAGAGGCCTGAGACAGGGTGGAGAACGCCCAGTGTGCAAACAAACTCGCGACGCCCAGATCTCAGGGGATCTCGAGGACCACCACTGTTACCACGCGACGTCCCCAGACATTATCCGTCGTGTTCTTCTCAACTCACGGCCCCAAGAAGGTCCCGACCCCCTCCCCGGAGGAAAAATCACCTCACAGCCATTGCCACGACGACGATGTCGAGATAGGGCGGCGCAGACTGGCCGTCTGCCCCACCAACGAGTCGGGGGTTGCCAGAGGTGTCCCTGACCCAAGGCGCCCCCAGTTTCTCGCTCCATGTTTTCGCGCCGCGCACAAGGGGGTAGCGCGGGGGGGGGGGGGGCAGCCTTCTAAGAAGGCGGGGGAGCTTCTAAGGAGGCAGGGGCGCTTTTAAGAAGGCAGGGGCCCTCTTCGAAGCCTTCCCTTCTTCGAGCAAAACACCATCTTACAGGCCTCCAGGCCAGTCTGAGAAGACCTCTGCCTTCTGCGAGGCAGCAAACTGCTCGGGGCCCCTGGTCCTCGCAAGGGGTGCTCCCAAGGCCTGGGGACACCCTGGGCCAGGTCGGGCGGGAAGTGATGGGAGGTGACCTCCATGGGAGGTGAAGACACGAGTCCTCACGGGGCCCTTTAGGGTCCCTGTTTGGCCAGTGCTGGCTCCCAAAGAGGCTCTCAAGTGGCCCTCTAGGGCCTTCTCTTGACGTCCCATTTAGGTTACCCCCCAATGCAACCCGCCCGACCAGGGCCACCTCTGCCGGGCATTTGGAGAACGCCCGCCCAGACAATTCGATTGAAGAGCTTTGCACCGGTTCACTCGACATCGGCGTTCGAGTGCATTGGCGCAGTCCCCAGTCGGTTTCGCCAGTCCACGTGTGCCTCGCTGGACACGTTCTGCTGTGTTGGTACGTCGGGTAGCTGCCCCGCTGGGGTGCACTCGGAATGCGGGTATGCCGCCGTCTTTCTTGAGAATTCTGAGCAGTGTGAAGTTCGATGTAGGATGCAGGGTGTGGTGTGGGAGTCTCTACCGCAGACGGCTCCGTCGGCCGAGCACCTCGCCCTCGCCCTGCTTTCCATATTCCAACGGGGCCCTGGGACCACCATGCCGTTTTCTGATTGTTTGGGTGCTGTGCGTTTAACGGAGAAGCCTGTCCAGGCCCAGCTTAACGGTTCTCAAGTTTTTGCTGGACTGCGCCGTGGCGCGCTGCAGCATCCAGGACACATACATATTGGGCACGTCAGTCATACCCGTGCCCATCGCTCCGAAGAGGTAATGTCCGCGCTCCCACCAGCCGAGGAAAGGATCGCTCGTGGCAACCAACTGGCCGATTTGTTGGCCAAGGATGCCCTTTCCCTCCACCCCCGTGCCCCTCCCGCCTCCTCTGAGTTGCACGGGCTAATGATCAAACGCCTCCGCGCTGCGATCAGTGTGGCGGCGGCGGTCCTCCCAGCGTTCCCGTTCCCATCCTTTAAGAAGATCAAGGTGCCGAGCATAACGCAGGTTGTGTCGTGGCACGAGTGGTGTCGGGTGGGTAGTTGGAGGGTGCGTTGTGCTCGGTGCCTTGGGTCGTGCCCCGAGCAGGACGAGCGCCCCCTCACTCAGTGCCCAGGCCCCCCTCCGCTCCTTGTAAAGCTGCGTGAGTGTGAAGGGATGGGCGGGCACTCTCTGAGAGCGTGCTGGACGGCACGCGATCAGGTACTTGTGTATTGCTGTAAATGTGGGGCGTATGCTGAGGAGAGGTCTAGTGGGACCCTCTTCAAGCCTTGTCGCCCCTCCTCGACGCCCCAGCGGGCGTACGACCGACGGCGCCTGGAGGCGGGGCTTCACCCGCACTCTCGTCGACGCGAGGAGTCCCTCCAGGCGCCGACCCCTCTTGAGTGCGACCTCATTCGGCGGGTGGTGGGTGGGACGGCTGGGTGGGCGGACGTCTCCTCCTCCTCCTCCGTCACCGCCTCGATCATTCGGAATCCTCGAATGGATGCGCTTGTGGCCCGCCTACAGGCCAAGTTTTGGCAGTCTTCGACGAGCTCGTAAGCCCTGCTCGGCTCGGGTCGGATTCGAGTTTTGCCGCCGTTGGGCGTGTCGGATCCGTATCTTCCGTGCCGTGCAGGCTGCTCGCCTTCCGTACCGTTGACGTTCCTTCTTGTTTGGGTCCTCCTCCTCCTCCCTTCCTCCATCCCGCTGCCGCGCCTTCTCCTGCCTGCTGCCCCCTCCAACTCCAAGTGCTTCTCCCTTCCTCTCCTTCTCGTCTCTCCTCCTCCTCCCTCCTCGTCCCTCGTCCTCGTCCCTCCTCGTCCTCCTCCCTGCTTCTCCTCCCCCTCCCTCCCTCCTCGTCCCTCCTCCTCGTCCCTCCTCCTCGCCCCCGTCCTCTTCCCTCCAAGTGCTCCTCCCTCCTCCTCCTCCCCCCTCCTCCCCCCGTCCCTCCTCCTCCTCCTCCTCCTCCTCCTCCTCCTCCTCCTCCTCCTCCTCCTCCTCCTCCTCCTCCTCCTCCCCTACTGGGGGTTCTGGCCGTTCCCGAGCCTGGCGACCCTCGAAACGAGGTGGCAGGAGCGCCTCGAGCAGCAGCGGGCCGCCGCGCGGGCGGCCGACGAGGAGCGGATCGCCAGCCTGCTGAAGAAGGACCGCCCTCGCCGCCGGCACCCGTCGGGGGCATCCAATCAGGAGCGAAAGAAGGACGTACACGTACATGAATCCACGCTGGTTTCGAGAGTTCGCATTGCGCGAATGTTCGTGTCAGGCGGCTAGTCTCGCGGGTCGAGGGGCCGTGTTCAGGTACTGGGGGTTCTGGCCGTTCCCGAGCCTGGCGACCCTCGAAACGAGGTGGCAGGAGCGCCTCGAGCAGCAGCGGGCCGCCGCGCGGGCGGCCGACGAGGAGCGGATCGCCAGCCTGCTGAAGAAGGACCGCCCTCGCCGCCGGCACCCGTCGGGGGCATCCAATCAGGAGCGAAAGAAGGACGTACACGTACATGAATCCACGCTGGTTTCGAGAGTTCGCATTGCGCGAATGTTCGTGTCAGGCGGCTAGTCTCGCGGGTCGAGGGGCCGTGTTCAGGTACATAGCTGGGCGCGTACGTCCTTTGTGGGCTCCCTATCAAAGAGGGTGCGAAGCATGGCCCGGGCCGTGGCCCCGCCCCGACGTCACGGCCTATGCTTTCTCCGAGCGCCTTTCTCTGTTCGCAGAGTGCCGACGCGCAACACCCGAACCAACAAAAACAACGTATGGTTGCCTCGATGTGCTGGAGCGTACACTCCCCGCGGCGGATCCAGGCCATTTGCGAGGAGGTACACTGCGAATAACCAGTGGAACGCGGTTGTCTATTCTTCTTTCACGACGTCTCCTGCCCCCCCTTCGACCGCGCAAACGCCTTGGGCCATGGAGACTGCGCGCCCTGCGCGCCAGCCCCCCCCTGGGCCGCCCAGACGGGGCCCGTGCATCCACCGTCGTTTGGGGCGGTGGTAGCGGCAGGCCCGGATTCCGACGACGTGATTTTGTTTCAGTCCCGGCGCTTTTCTTGACTCCGATCCTCGTGGGCTATTTTCGGGCCCTGGGGCTATCAAGAAATGGGGGAGCAGCACTACCCACGGGGTCGGCGCGTCCTGCGTGGCTCCCCATGCCGTCCGGAGCGGGCCCAGTCATCCCACGTCTTCTGGGGCAACGGCATGTGGAGGATCGAGAGTCGAGATTGGAGGTTGTCGGACATGTTCGTCGGTTCCCAGTTTTCCAACCTCGGGATGCGTCCCAGCAGTTGGAGTTTTCCGGGGGTGCCCCGTCCCGAACGGCCGCCGGGAAGCCGAGTTACGGCCCGAAAGCCGAAAACGAAATGGTCACTCTAGGGGGGATAGACTCACTGAGTCTATCCCAGGGGGTCACTCACTCACTGACTCAGGGGGTCACCCTCTGAGTCAGGGGGGAAGCATCTGCCCCCAATCGCCCACTCGCCAATCGGGACTCGGGCCAGGCGATGGTCCCCAGGGGCCGAAGATTGCGAATCAAATCCTGAGGTTATATTTTAAGCGCTTCGCTCATTCCGCCGGCCCTGGAGCCCTCTTTAGGGCCTCTTGGGGGCCTCTTGGGAACCTCTTGGGAGTCTCTTGGGGCTCCTTGGCTGCGTCTGGGAGGCCCCCAGGGCCTCTTGGGGGGCTCTTGGGGGCCTCTTGGGGCGGGAGGGGGGATAGTCGATTGCGGCTCCCCCCTCGGAGGCCACGATCCTCGTGAGGGGTGTCGAAAAATGGCCCTCCCTTGGAGCGCTCTGGGGGCTTCTCCTGGGACCTTGCCGGGGTATTCTTCGTCCGGGGGCCCCCAGGGGCCGCCCCGCGCGCGCGAACTAGAAATACTTTGAACCAGTTACCCGAGATCTTAGCACGCCTTTGGCCCGTTGGGCCGGCGAATCTATAGTTTTCGCATGTCGGAGGTCTGGCCAAAGGTGGGACACATGCGGGCTATCTTTGAGGGCCGCAGGTGCACACAACAAGACGGGGGAGACGTCGAGGAGGAGGAGGAGGAGGAGGAGGAGGAGGAGGAGGAGGAGGAGGAGGAGGAGGATTAGGAGGAGGAGGAGGATTAGGAGGAGTAGGAGGAGAAGGAGGAGAAGGAGGGGGTAGCAGAGGCAGGCGGGGGAGGGGTAGGTGGTGGTGGAGGCACCTTTTCCTGCACCCCGTTGTCTTCTGCTTCCCTGAGGCCACTGCGGCTGTATGTCGCACATAGTTTCAGAGGCTTGCGCCATTCCGCCGACCCTCAGATCAAACACGAAGTCCACGGCTGAACCCTCTTTGGGCCGTTTTTTGCGGGGGGGAAAGGGCGTGTTCTACCGCTGCTGGCGGAACACCGGGGGGGGGGTTCACTGGGGGGTCCCAATCCGCCCCCCCCCTCGAAAATTTGGGGGGGGGTCATTGCCGGTTCGAACCCCCCCAGTCCATCATGAAAAGGGGCGGGGGGTCACTACCGGTTCGAACACCCCCCCCTCGCCGCCGTTCAACGATTCCCGCTCCTCGGGACAGTGGGACAGTGGTGGGGACATTGGGACAGTGGTGGGGACAGTGGTGTATGGACAGTGGGACAGTGGTGGAGACTGGGACAGTGGTGGGGACGGTGGTGGTGGTGACAGTGGTGAGGGGACAGCGGGACAGTGGTGGGGACACTGGGGACAGTGGGACAGTGGTGGGGACGGTAGTGGTGGGGACGGTAGTGAAGGCGGTGGTGAGGACGGTGGTGGGACAGTCGAGGTGGGGACAGTGGGGACAGTGGGACAGTGGTGGGGACAGTGGGACAGCACAGTGGGACAGCGGCGGGGACTGGGGACAGTGGGACAGTGGTGGGAACAGTAGGGACAGTGGGGACGGTGGGACAGTGGTGGGGACCGTGGGGTCAGTGGGGAGAGTGGGACCGTGGTGGGAGCAGTGGTGGGGACTGGGGACAGTGCGACAGTGGTGGGGGCACTGGTGGGGACAGTGGTTGGAAGAGTGGGGACTGGTGCTGGGGACGGTGGTGCTGGGGACAGCGGAGGGGGATGTGGTGCGTACTGGTGGGGACCCGGGAGTCGTTTGCCGGCGGTGAGTTGGGGAGGGGAGGGGTTTGAACCGGTAGTGACCCCCGTCGGTTTCCAGGAGGGGATGGGGGGGGGTTCGAAATGGTAGTGACCCCTTGCGGTTTTCCAGAGGGGGGGGGGAGGGGTTAGGCGGGGGGGTTGCCAGAGGAGGGGGGGGAGGGGGGAGGGGGGGGGAAGCAGGGGCGGGGTTTTCGAAGTGGGGTGGGGGGACCCTTGGGTTCTGGAGGAAGAGGGGGGGGATTTTCCACAGTAAAGCGGCGGTGGATCACGCTCTCTCAAATGTTGGGAGGGTAAGTTGGGTCGTCTTGCGGGCCTCTTGGGGACCATTTGGGGGCTTCTTTTGGCCCTGTTGGGGCCGCTTGAGGCCTTCTTGGGCGCCTGCTGACGGTCTTGGGGGTGCGTTTGGTGCGGCGGGCTCGTAATGTCAGTTCGAGTTTCCCCTCTTGGGTCTCTCTTGGGGCCCTGTTGGCGCCCTCGAGGGCCACCTTGGGCGACTCTTGGGCCGTCTTGGGGGCTTCGTGGGTCGTCGTGGCGCCATTCTGAGGGCTTCTTGGGCAGTCTTGGAGCGATCCTGGGGGCCTCTTGAGCATCCTTGGATGTTGTTGAGACCGAAGGGGCGCACATGCTGAACAAAAGGTTTCCCCTAAGGATTGGGACGATTTCTGCCTCTTGGGGCTTTCTTCTGGGTCCTCTTGGAGCCCTCTTGGGGCGTCTTGGAGGCCACTTGGACAGTCTTGAGGCCATCTTGGTTACTTTTGAGCTCTCTTCGGCGTGTTTGGAACCCAGCCTGAGCCAGCTGAGGGGGCATCTGGGGCATCTCGGAGGCCACGGGGTGTAGATTTGGGAGGCTCCGTAGGCCCCAGGGGGTGCGTTTGGGAGCCTAGGGACTCCTCACCCCCTGAAGCGCGATGTTCAGGAGGGGAGAAACACACAGACACAATTAATCGTCGATCCCCACGAAAATATGGGAAAATATGGGCAGTGGGGGGGGGGGAAGACGAAAACCCAGAAAATAAGGGAAGATATGGGGAATCCTGTTATGTGTGTCTATTCATTTGTGTGTCCTTGGGCCTCTTGAGAGATGCGGAGGGGAACGGCCAAACGTCTCCCGCGCCTTTTCCCCGCTGGCAAGCGAGGGTCGGCGGGCTTTACAATGACTCGGCTCACGCTGCGGCAAGTGATGGCCCAAGTATAGGGGTGCGCAAAATGGTCGCCGTTCGAATACGAACTTCTCCACACAGTTCGGGGGTGGGCAGACCCCCCATCCTGACACGTCGATTAGTGAATTGTCCGTTTTCGGTTCTCGAGAGGGCACCGCGGCCGTCATTTTCCAGGCTAGCGCCCGCCAGGTTTGGGCCCGAGGTCGTTTTCACTAAACCACGTTTTACTAAAGGGGGTTCTGTCCATCCCCGAAAAGTCAATTTTCGGAGGTCCGCGCGAATTTCGTGGATCTGCGCTGTGCCACCCTGGCGCGCTCCGCGCCAGGGTGGGGGGGTCCCGTGCCAATCCAAGACATCCGGGCGGACCTCCGAAGGTTTATTCCCCAATCAGAGCTTGTCTCTGTAGGGGTCCTAGCGGATTCAAATGGTTAGGTTAGGTTTGCCGCCGATTTTCGCCGCACGCCCGGGTGCCCGGGTGCCCAGGGGTGCCCGTGTGCCCGGGCGTGCCCGGGGGTGCCCGGGTGCCCTGGGGTGCTCTAGAGCCCTATAGCACTATAGCCCAATAGCCCTATAGCCCTATAGCCCTACAGCTCTATAGCTCTATAGCCCTATTGCCCTATAGCTCAATAGCCCTATAGCCCTATAGCCCTATAGCTCTATAGCCCTTTAGCCCTATACCGTATAGCCCTATAGCCCTATATCCCTGTAGCTCTATTACCCTATAGCCCAATAGCCCGATAGCCCTATAGCCCACAGCCCTAAAAGATGATGATTTGGGTTTTTTCTCCGGTATCATGCCTGTGCCTCTTCTCACATACCTCGTAACCACCACGGTGGTGGTATAGGTGCCGACAGCGGGCAACCGCCGACACCCCAGTGTATGTTTTGATCTGACTCGATTCCGACATCCCGACGATCCAACGCGGCCCGATGCCCGGCCCGTACTTGAGCCGTCGTGCATCCTGGCGCGGCCGATCCGACTCGCTCTCCACCCCGTATACCGCTGCTGTCCGACTCGATTCACGGACTGATCCGGTCCGAGTCCTTCCTCTGATGCTGTCTTCTGGGGCAACGGCCGGGGGAGGGCAGGTTCGGGCGGGAACAGCCCAACCCGCCAGGCGCCCATCACAGATAGGATGCCCGATGGCCCGCCCCGCCCAGGAGCGTGCGGCCTCGTTGTCGAGGGCC